GGGTGTATATCTTATTGTGATTTTTATTTGCATTTCTTTAATGACTAATGATATGGACTATCTTTTTATGTGCTTATTGGTCATTGTATATCTTTTTTGGCAAATATCTATTTGGTATTTTGCTCATTTTTCAATTGAGTTGACTTTTTTATTGTTGAGTTCTAATAAGATTTTTAATATATTCTGATATAAGACTCTAATGTGTGATTTGCAAATATTTTATCTCATAATGGGGTTATCTTTCCATTTTTGCTATGGTTTCCTTTGAAGTCAAAAGTTTTAAATTTGGATTATGTCATGCTTATTTTTTTTTCTTTTTTTAGCTTATGCTTTTGGTGTCATATCTGAGAGAGCCACTGCTCAAGTCAAAGTCACAATTTACTTCTATATGTCGTTCTAAGAGCTCTATAATTTTCTCTCTTACATTTAAGCCTTTGATCCATTTGGAGTTAATTTTTGTATATAGCATGAGGAAAGGATCCAAACTCTTTTTTTTGCATGTGAATCTTCAGTTGTCTTAGCACAAAAAGATTTTTTCCTCATTCAATTAAATTGTCTTAGAACCTTTGTCAAAAAACCAATTGACCATCAATGTAAGGAATTATTTCTGGACTCTCAATTATATTCCGTTGATTTATGTGTCTAACTTTATGAAACTTACCACAACTTTTGCATAGTTTTGTAGTAAGTTTTGAAATGTGTAAGTCTTCTAATTCTGTAATTCTTTAAGAATTTCTGACTGTTTTGGGTCTCATGCATTTCCATGTGAATATTAGGATTAACTTGTCAATTTCTGTAAAAAAAAAAGCCAGTTGGAATTGCAGATATTATGTTAAATAATGATAGTTATTAATATAAAAATGCAAATAAATGGTAAATCTCTTTTTTAAATTTCATATAGAATTATACTGGATAAGGCTTACTGCAATGGCTTAGTAATTGTGAAAGAAATAGCAGGTGGTGTGCAATTGCTTTCTGAGGCAGAGTACAAAGAGACATAATTAACATGTTCATAAACTCAAGAGAAAGTTACTGAGCCGGATAAGTACAAGAACAGTGTTCCAAAAAGAGAACACGTAATGTGTTAGCACAAACATGAGAAGAGCTGTTGATATTTTTAGGAAACTATGCACATTCACTAGAACTGTGTTTTTAGGTCTGAGGATGCAAATGGGTCAAAAGAGGTAAACAAGAAGATTATGAGTCATCAATCATGGATATGTTTATACGTTCACATGTTAAAGACAGTTTTAAATTCTGTCAAAAATTTAATCATGTTACAGAACAAGTATCTAAGGTAGAAATAACACATAAATATATTACTAAATCTCCTTACTATAAAAAGAAGTGATATCTGAAATAGGGTTCTTAGAAAAACCATCAACTGGAAAACTGAACATATAGTCTCAAAGCATTTTTAAATAAAAAAAATTATATCACCTTATACCATAAGAAACGGAAATGTTTGTCTACATGCTGTAGTCATTTTCACAGGTGCCCCAACAGAGCTAGTAGTCTGGACTATTTAGATCTAACGAGCACTCTGCTTCCATCTATTTAACTCCTTCAATCTATAGATTAGGTAGCTGAAGTTTAAAGATATTTAAGAGCCCAAGGGTCCCTATCATATTCAGTGCAACATTTTAAAAACATTTATTCATGTGTATTCACTCCACTTATTCACTTATGTAAATTGTTCCTGACCCTCCAATTTCATTCATTGCCTAACAAGGCACCATGGAAGGAAAAGTGAGATAATCTCTATTCAGAGTCTCATTGGACACTAGTAGTCTAATGAGAAATCAAAGGCAGGTAATTGTAATGCGATGTGACAGTATTTGTAACTGAAATATTCCTGGGAACAGGAGGACAAGGGTGTAGGTGGAAAGGAAAGACAGCTTCACTGAATAGTAGCATTTGAGCTGAAACTCAGAGGAAGTTACTGAGATAGGTAAATGCTCAAAGAGATCATAGCATCTGCCAGCACAGAAATTTGAGAAAAACTACATGTATTCACTAGAACTACGTTAGGCTTAGTGGTGCAAAATGAGCAGAGAGTGGCAAACAATGACATTATCAAAGATTTTGTCTGCCATACAAAGATTAAAATGCAATCTTGTCGAGTTCCATTATAAAATTCCCAGTCAACTGACATAGATTTGTCTGAAAGATCCTTCTACTAGTGGTATGGAACATGGAACAGAGAAGATTGATACCAGAGTCAGGAAGACAAAAAAATGGAGGCTGTTGCAGCATCATGGGGATGAGACATGATGAGAGGTTGCATTAGAGCAAGAGCTACAGAAATGGAGAGGTAGACACAAATACAAGAGAGACTGAAAAGTCAAAGTCAGTACAACTTGCTGATTGATTGCATATAGGGGGTATGAAGGGAAAATAGGATGCAGAGCAGGTAATCTACTGCAATGGACAGAATACTTGTGCCCCTCCCCCACCAAGTCATGTGTAGATAAGTCCTAATCGTCAACGTGATGGTATTATGAAGTGGAAGTGGAACTTTTGGGTGGTAATTGGGGCATGAGGGTGGAGCCCTTTATATTGGAACTGTGACCTTACAAAAGGGTCCCTAAAAAGATCTCTCATTCTCTTTCCCCCCAGATAAGGATATAGCAGTTTGCAACTCAGAGGTGAGCCCTCACCAGAACTGGACACAATTGGCCCCTGATCTTGGACTTCTGAACTTCCAGCCTCCGGAATGGTGAGAAATAAGTTTCTGTTGTTTATCATCTTCTCAGTCTATGGTATTTTGTCAAAGCAGCCTGAACTGACTTAGACATCTACCGTATTTTCCATTTCCCTACTCTGTCTTATGAATGTAAAGGTTGATGGTATTTATAATTTTTAGCAGTGTTTATAAAACACAATTGATAACAGACTAAAATATCAGAAGAGATAAGGATATTACATTATCCTTTTGGAGATAAAACTATCTTATTAAGTATAAAGCTAAAATTTTCTGCCTTTCCATCAACCAAATACCAGCAGAAGTCAACAGAGCAGATGATAATCATGCACCCAGGCAAATCAAATTGTGCCTAAACATTTTTCACAGTGTAACTTCTCATTACTTTCTTCTTTATACCTTTTTAAAGTGCACATGAGGATTGTTAGATGAGGCAGAAAATGCTGAAATTAGATGCAGAAATGTAAAATGTAGACATGACCACTTCTCTTGTTCTTTTATTTTTAATAAACATCACTAGGCAAAACAGTTCATTGCTCAAGGACAAAGGCATGAAACACAGCCATCATATACAAAAGTGTGTGGGCCACACAGTCCACACTTCCTGGATTTCTGGGAAATTAGGGTCACATGTTCTATTAAGGCATTATTATTAGTAGTAGTAGAAGTAATAGCAGTAGCCGGGCTCGGTGGCTCAGCCTGTAATCCTGTGCCTTTGGGAGGCTGAGGTGAGTGGATTGCCTGAGCCCGCGAGTTCGAGACCTGCCTGGGGAGTGAGACCTCATCTCTACAATAAATCAAAAAATCAGCCAGGCGTGGTAGCGCATGCCTGTAATTCCGGCTACTCGGAAGGCTGAGGCGGAAGGATCCCCGGAGCCCAGCAGGTCGAGGCTGTGGTGGCCGGGAGCTGCCACTGCACTCCAGTCTGGGCGACAGAGTGAGACTCCAACTCAAAAAAAAAAAAAATAAAAAAAATAAAAGAAGTCATAGTAGTAAAATATCCTGGACGATCTATGAGTAAGTGGTGATAAAACAGTCCTTACACTGTTCCCACTCACTGACCACAGCGCAGGGATTGCTACCTTTATAGAGTCATTTCTTCTGGCTGTCAACATTTTATAAGTAAACAAAAAGGAAAAGGAAAAAAATTCATTCCATTCAAAGGTTGAAAAGGCTGGATTAAGTACACTTAACAGGTCACTTAAGATAAGACTTAGTAGTCTTTACTGTGCTAATGAAAGTTGCAACTTGCCAACTACTTTGCATTTTCCCCGGAGCTGTATCCAGTAACCTTTTCTGTGGCTAGGACAAAACTAGGAAAATGTAAGGAAATTCGACAGAACACATAAACTCCTTTTGTTTATTTGTTTTTCGTGTGATTGGGGGCAGGGTAGAACTGCATGATGTAAAAGCACAGAAAAAAGGTACTGCATGAAAGAGTCATCTGAAGACAGAGGGCTCTGGGCACCTGATACCTCTTGCAAGTTGAAAGATCAAGGAAAGGGTACTGAAGATACCAGCCTTGAATAGAAAGCTGTTTGGAATTGAGATCCCACAGCTTGGAGTGTGCTATGTAAAATACTTTAATCCATACCATATACCACATCAATGTATGCTCAACCCATTTAGTAGCTGCCATTGACAATAAAGACATGAGTGGAAAATTACAAGTATTTTTTTCCAGTTTCATACTACCATACACCCTATCACTAAGCATTTCATCAGATAGCACCTTTCATTAATGAAATTTAAATTACCAGAAATTAGTATTAAGACCATTGAAAAAACAAAACAGGCCAGGCTTGGTAATCCCGCCCTTTGGGAAGCCGAGGTGAGTTGAATTGCCTGAGCCCGCAGATTCGAGACCCACCTGAGGCAACTTGGTGAGACCTCATCTCTACAATAAATAATAATAATAATAATAAAATTGCCAGGCGCACCTGTAGTTTTGGCTACTTGGAAGGCTGAGGCGGAAGGATCGCCGGAGCCCAGCAAGTCGAGGCCGCAGTGGCCGGGTGCGGCCAATGCACTCCAGTCTGGGTGGCAGAGTGAGACTGCAACTCAAAAAAAAAAAAAAAAAGAAAAAGAAAAAACAAAAGAAAACAAAACACTGTTCAAAAGCATTGGGAGCAAGAGGTAGAGAAGTGTCGCAGAAATATTCCCTTATCTATCTTTTGAATTGACATATGTTTTTGCGAAATGAAAACCATGATAACACAAACCTTTATCACTTTTTCTAGGAATCCAAGAGATAAATCTTGCATACACGCACATACACACAAACACACATGCTTAATTTCTCCCCAAAATAGCCACATTCTTTTATTTGATAATTCAATACATTTTTAATTCAAATAGTCACCACATAACCTAGGCACAATATTAAGCATTTTACAAGCAAAGTTTTTTACTGATTTTCTTTTCAATTGCCAAAGAGTACAATAAGTGAACTGGTTAAAGGATATACTTCTGTACACAAAAATATCCATGTATTTATACAAGCGTATGGAACAGAGTTTAAAGATAATACAACCCTAACATCACAATAAATAGGATGCATTCCTACAGCACAGCACAGCACGCTTTGTCAGGAAGCTGCCAAGTTCTCTTTGAAGGTGCTTTATGTTCTGAGCTAGGCCCATCTTTCCTCCAGAAAAGGATTAGTAGTACCTGGATACGAAATCTACTTTCATAAGTTGTTTTTTATTTGCATATCCAATAACAGGGGTGGAAAACATGATAACTTATTTATTTTCAAAAAGGTCTTTGCAACTCACCAATTCTATTTCAATATTTTTCAATGCAGATTAATCTAAACTCCAGCACCATACAAGAATGAAATACATGTATTTTTGTCAGAGCAACAATATTTTATAACATCTTTGTTCCTCTGGCTATAACAATTTTGCTTAGAAAATTTTATCAAGCTAAAAATAGTTGATCTAGGTTGTCATAAAAAAGAATATTAAATACCTTTGGTAAAAATAGATATATTTAACAAGACTAGAAAAGCCAACAGTTATAATGTCAAAAGGAGAATATAAAAATGTACATAATTAAACAAATAAACCAACTTATAGATAAAGTGAAGATAAGGCCACTCTTCTTTTCAGGTTTGTCTTTTTCCAAACCATGAACGTAGTTCTCTTCCTCTAAATGGCAGAGAATGTAATAAGAAATATGGAAAATCCAGTCTTTCTTATCAGCATGAAGCAAGTTTAATTCATAGCAACATAGTTCCTTTTTAAAAACCAAGTTTGTAGAACACAGAACATTCCGGTTTATATATGTGAATATAAGGAAAATATTCCAGATTTTCTGTAATTTTAGGCCAAGAACATGGATCTTTAGAATTAAAGGCAACAGAATCAGGTGATCACTGGCACACAGTTTTTTTTCCTGTCCTGACATTCACCTAAGTCATATCAAGACAACTGAAATACAGAACGCAGCTAGTGGCATAGGTACATGGGAGCTCTGTAACTAGCTAGTGATCTACAGCATTTAATTATTTCCATGATTGAAGACCTTTTCTCCTGTCCTCTGGGCCTCCTCTCCAAAGAGCTGTTGCACAACTCCAAAATTACGTGTGATGTCTCCTCTTTTAGAATGGACTGTAAATCCTGAAGATGAAAGGTCCTTGAAGCAAACAACTGAGATTAGGGATGGAGATAACGCGTACATTCTCTAACAGAGTCAGCCACTGCAAGGCATAGCTCTGGCAAGGGCTCCTCTTGGCAATGCAGTTATCCGCCTGTGTTCCCTCTGCACACACAGTCACACTCCTCATGGTGTTCCAAGGCCACATCGGTGAGCGATTTATGCAATCCCCTGACACCAATCTTCGGTCTCAACTGAAGGACCTGCAAGGGGACAATGTAAGCCATGTTTAAAAATCAACTAATAGCTGCAACTTTTAATTTCATGGGCAAGTAACATTTCGGAAAAGAATGCTGGGGCCCAATAAAGATTTACAAATTTTCATTTTTCCTAGAGAAGACACTATGAGAATATTGCCCCCATCAAAATAATTCATAAATTATCATCACCATTACATAAAAGAAAGGACACTTTGATGTCAATCATTTGAAAGCTCTCTGCCTCAGTGCAGGGAGCAGTCCTTAAATTGAAAGACTAACCACACTCTCTTCATTGTACTTGTCTAGCTGTACTAGAAAGAATTTCACCTTAAGTGTTTTAGAACTACTAATACACAATTCGGGTTTTTTCTGTTTGTTGGTTTCATTCACTCATTCATTTTTTTCTCACATTTAGCAACTATTTAGACTTGCATCCATCCACTCAAATACAGAAATACCGTGGAAAGAAACATGATCACTCCACAGCTGAGTTTGCTCAATTATGCCACTCATTAATTTTCTTGGCTATACTTCAAGTCCTCTATAAACTTGATGAGATGGATTAGATGTACTTCATAGACATCAGCCCTAGTCACAGCTAACTTTGTGCAGCTGTATCCTACTGTGCGATATAAGGAGATTTGGCAGTAACAACAATAATGCCTCTATTAAATGAAGTTATTTGTAGTTTGATTTGTCGAGATTCTAAGTTTAAAAATACAGCAAAATAGACACCAATACTAAACATATTTCCACTTAAGATTGTGACAAGGAGATCAAGCTATGCATTTTATCTCTGAAGTATATAATATAGCTACCTATTCAAGCATACTACATTTTATTTCCTATAATTAAAACAACAAAGTATTTTGCTTGGATTATGAACAGAAGCAGAGCAAAAAATAATATGAAACTGTCTAGCTTCCCTGTATTCTGGGTATGACACAGATAACTTCAAGGAACAATTTCTAAAACCTACCATTCTTGAAAATGTTCATTAATCTAAAAAAGGCACAAGTCAAGTCTTATGACTATTCTATTTGAAGACTTAAAAGAGACACAGAGAATGCATACCTCAATGGAGTACGTGGTAATATCAGAGGTTAATTAGCTAACATTTTTTGAATGCTTACTGGGTGCCAGGCACAATAATAATGTTTTTACATACTTTAACTCACAAGAATTCTATGAAGTAATTTACAATTATTACCCCTGTTTTACACATGAGTGAACAGAGGCTTAGAAAGAATAAGTGACACAGCCTTGATTTGTATTGTGCCTAGACCAAAGATGAATTGTTAAAGTCAGAGCAAGAGACAATAGGGTTATAAGAACTCAGAATATTACTACTCATACATTTTATTTATTTAGTAACTTTCTTCCTGGACAGATAAACTTCAAAGTCTCATGATAACTATTAGAAATTATAAACTTTTAAAGTAGCTTTCCCATGTGTTATATTTCACAATTCTAAAATACCAATTACAAAGATAATATTACTTTAACGTGAAACTTAAAACAATCACTACAGAATATTATTTTATGTCAGTAATGAATTACTCTTTTTAAACAATTAATGTGGCTTCACAACTGATCACATAAAAGATACTGACCTATTCCTTAGCATATGCTTGCTATTAATTTTTTTTTTTTTTCCTAGAATGAAGTTGGGTGGGTAAGGTAAATTTCAATATCGGCATAGCTAATGTCTTAAATTTCTTTCTCTGGAAAAAAATTCATGAAATCACCTGTATGCATTTTCCAATTCAGCAAGAAAACAAAACAAAACAAAACAAAAACTAAAAATCTATGAAAGGTAAAGGTTAGAGAGGTACCATATAGAGTTCTAACAGTCATCAGGCTAGGCTGCAATCCTAGCTTCCTCTAACATGCTTGTGCCAAGATGCATTTGCTGACTAAAATCCCCCTGTTTTTGACTATTGTTACTCGTGTGGAGATTTACAAATATCAGAAGAATCTCATAATGTTCTAGCAATTTTAAGTCTTGGGGAAGAAATTCTAATTACATGGTGGGGGACACAATGAGTGTTTCCCTTCTTAATTCCTTTAGAAAGTGTTGAGTTTGGGAGAGAATAACAGACTTGGAAAATGATCAGCGTGTTCCAGACAATATTAAAGAGGAAAATCAGGTTTTCAGGATATGGATTTTGACACCGGAAAAGAAACAAGGAAGAAGTACATCTCAGACAATTAAGAGGGAAAGGTGGAAAATAAAATTACGAGACTGTGAAAAGGAATGTCTAGGGAGAAGCTGAGCCAGAGACTGTGGGTAAAAGTAGATTAGACACAGAAAGCACCATCAAGGAACAGATGCTCATGTACCAGTGCTCAACATGTGTAAAAACTGACCTTAAAATTTTGAGAAACATAGAGTATTGAACAAAGAGAGTCATCACTAGAATAAGGCCGTTGAATGTTTTACTTTTATTTTTCCAAAACAAACAGATCTAATATAAGAAAGTAAGACTATATGTTATGAAAAAGATTACATTTATGAAGGCATAACAAGGTGAAAATCATCAAGAATAAAGAGAAAGGAACAAATATGTTAGTATTGTCAGAGTGTCCTGTAGACCTATTGGCCAGAAGAATACCCTTCCTTCCTCTGGGAAACATCCATTAAATCTTTACTGGTCATTTACCATAAAGGAATAAGGCTAGGCATGGGAACCTGGGGGATAATAAAGATGAGTGAGAGAATAGCTAATACATACTAAGGGTTTTAAATGCCAGGTCTCTTTCTAAGTGTTTTGTAAATATCAACCCATTGAAACCTTACAATAAGGTATGAGGGTTGGAAATTCATCATCTAGATGAAGAATTGAGGCATAAAATTTAAGTAATTTGTTCCAAGTCACACAGTTAACAAATGTTGGATTCAAACTTGGAATGGCTTTGGAGTTTATATTCTAAATGATTATATTGTAACGTGATCTTTATTTTCTTTAGCTCTCAATTTGGTAGAAACAATGAAAAATAAACAATAGTTATGAGATACTAAGAGTTTTCTAATAGAGATATCTTTAAAGTCCTACACATGCACTGAAGATAAATTAACTCATTATGCTAGGACAGGCAGAACAATAAAAAGTGTTTGAAAAAAGAAGCGATATCTAAGTTTATACGTATATAAAGTATATACATATAAACTGACTTACTTTTCTGAAAATTCTTATTTGGGATATAAAAAAATCATTTAAAAATATTCTGGGGGGACTAAAATGTCTTTCAACAGAGAGATCCAATAATTGATTCAAAAAGCAGTAAACATCTTATTAATAATATTGTGATGCTATAGTAGTTTTTAATTTTCTAAATTTATGTTTGATACTCACAATGGATGAATCAATAAAAATGTTACTGAAAATAAAAAGAGAAGATAACTCAATTATAGTTGTAGTAACGCACTGAATATGATTCAAGCATAATATTTACGGAAGCTAGTAAGATAGAAATAGAAGACAGGGAGAAAAGTGAGAACTTCTAAGCTCTGTCTTTGCTTCTGCCTTCTCCATGAGGCACAAAAATCTTCAAACTAAAAATTGGAACTATCATCAGAAAAAAGAATATCCAAAGTCAGCTTATCTGTAAATGAGTTAAGTCTTTGAGTCCAGATTAATGATATTAAATCATTCAATGAATTTAGAACAATTTTAAGTTATGTACAGAAAATAATATGAGAAGAATGTATTTTCAGCAATTATGAATTCTATTCTCAGAAATTATGAGTTATACCAAACAAATAGTCCTTTTACTACAGAATAATTGAACAAAAGCATTACCACACAAGTATTAATTATTCCAAAAAGCATTTAAAAATTAGGGCATTCTTGTTACTCAAAATATTTGTGAAAAATGTAGTGTAGTTAACTGTATAATTTTATTTCTACACACTCATCCTTTAGAGATATTTGTGTGAAGCAAATGGATGGTCATGTAATTATCATAAAATTAGACAAAAATTCATAGTCATATGTGTATGTATGTTGCATATATATAATCAAGTCCATCCAAAGATTGGGGTATAATAATGGATTAATGTAATTCTGGAAAAAAGGCCACAGAGTTCATAGGTACTGCCCATAGACCGAAACAAGAATTTCATCTGAGGTTTGAAAAGAGATATTGCATACACTGTGGCAATTTTCTGAATAATCCTAAAGTTAAGTTTTGTGAAAAGAAATTTACAAGTATAGCATGGAGGAGGATACACTTGACTGGGGGCCTGATTTAACAGACCACAGCATGATATAAATTCAGCATCTGATAAGCTTGGTTTAAAAAGTAAACACAGCAAGTCTTGGTTTTATAGCTCTTAGAATAGTGGTTATTAATACAAGATTTGCTGGCTAGATCAGTTCCCCAAATACACTTTGTTTACTAAGTACCTGCTTAGAAGCTGCTAAGAAACTTCAAAATGGAATGATTTTTAGGTGAGAAAAGATCACTTCAGTTTAATCCATATCTTTTTATACTTTTTAATAAAAACATATTTTTAAAATAAAAATATCTTTTTTATGTTATGCTGGACAATTCTAATATCTTCCTAGTCTTCAAGACATTTTGATCTTAATGCTGCTTTAGAACTATCTTATTAATGGTTTTTGCTTGACTGGATTCCCAGTTCATGGAGTAGCAGTAAGGCCGTCCTGTGGGCACAGCCTGCCCGGAGCTCTCTGAACCACCTTGGTCATGAACACATTCTTCTTGAAACTGGAGAGGAGACTCCGTTCCCAACACAAAAAGCTTTAGAAACATGTGGTGTGGAAATGAAAACAAAGCATGGGTAATGGCAGTACATAGTCCTATTTTTAATGACAGACTGCTGGATTTGGATCGTACCTTCTAAAAGGGTGCCATCCATAATTGTCAGAGAATAACACAGTGAGGAAAAAACTGAGGAATTATCATACTTTACACTTACAAAGTCTCAAGTCAACTTTTTACTCCATATGTTCATTAGTGTCGGAACATCATCAATTATAGCTCACCTTCTCCTCCAGCAATATCATGAGGCATGCATGCAATCTTTCCTGATGAGTCAACTTTAATTTTTATAAAATCGTTACATTAGATCAAGCCAAACTCTACCCTTATGACTTCATTTCAATATGACTTCACTTTATGACCTTTCATTTTTTCCACTAAATAAAATAATAATACAGAATGAATACCTGCTTAATAAATGAAATGATTTTTCATATTCATAGACTTCAGTGAAACCCTCAGATGTTAGGTAATCTAAACATGCCTGGCTTCATAAACTGAATTTCATAAGACGTGATTATCCTGCTCTTCCCCAATATTGTGTTGACAACTGATAAAGTGGGGGAAAAAAACCAAAGAATTCCAGAAGACAAGGGACTCTGTTTCCATTCTGGATCTAGGTTTTCACTTCAGTGAAGAGTTCACTGAAGTCTTTATGCATGTGAAGAATCATTTTGTTTATTAAGTAGATATTTATTCCACATTTTTATTATAGAGAATATTAAAAATAATAAAATGAAATCATATTAAAATGAAGGCAGAACAGTAGATTTTGGCTAGGTCTAACATAAAGAGTTTTTAGAAATTCAAGATGACCAATCAAGACAAAATTCTTCCTGTCATATGTATGCTAATGATGCTTCTGCAAGGAAAGGTGGACTATCGTTGAGGATATTCTAATACTAATGAAAGTGTTCAGTGTACAGGATTCCAAGGTCCTAAAAATCAGTAATTACTAACATTTCCTATGATATTTTCCTTCATCCAAGAGAATAAAAAGACAAAATGTTTAAAAATCTATATAAAGTTTAACATGTCATTTGGGGCCACAAGAATAAAACAAAGATTGGTGTAATTATGAAAACGTCCTTTTAAAATTTATTGCCTCCAAATAGAAAAATAAATATCAAAGATTTCCTTTCTACAAAATAGACAATGATTTATCTGTAAGTTTGTATTCAAAACATTTTTTCCCTTCATATTTGGAAAAGTTTAAAAGTTAAAAAACTCTACCCATTTTTTTCCTTCAGAGATCACTTTTTTTTTAAATGACAGATAAAACTTCATTGACCACTCATGATGACTATCAGAGAAGAAGCTCTCCAAATCCTTAATATGTTACATTAAAGGTTAAAAAAAAAATCCACAAACTGCTCATACACCTTGCTTTTATTCCCTCAAGAATGATACATCTCTTTTCTAAACATAAATCCATTTCAGATTAACTGTTTCATTCGGAGACATAAAAGATGGAAAAGAAAATGATATACCTACCTCATGATATTTTTTAGTAACTTTGCTTGGGACACATTGACATTCATTGCAATTGTGGAGACAACAGGCACAGTTTCCACCACAGCGTTTAACCAGGAGACAACCTGGCCAGAAAATGGTATCGGTTCTCTTTAGTTCTTCCCTTATGGACACCGAGAAGTTACGAGGTGTGCAGCTGTATAATCTTACCTCCTCTTTCAGAAGGTTCAAATCCACCACTACATGGCATAAAAGATAGCAAAGAAAAATAGATGTTCATGCTTTGAGCCTGAATGCATTTCCTGAAGTTTTTTTTTTTTTTTTCATAAAGAAACCTTATGTTATATGATGAACAATACCTCTAACAATATCCCTTCTTATATTCACTAGGTTTTAGGGCTACAAAGCTCACAAATTGTACTTTCTATTTCACAGTATACAAAGCTTCATTATGTCTTAGTGACCAATAAAGAGATGCCATTGTGCAATATTAAGAGCAGAGCCAACAAAACAGTTGAGAGCTATAAATAGGAAACTTTACAGAGAAAAAAAAGGGCTACACCTTTTAACCTTGGTAAAAAAAGTGGCAAGGAGAACGCTGGAAGAATAGAATTAAAATGATGAATGCTTTGATTAAAAACAAATGCAATTCTAAATAATCACCAACTCATACAATTAATGAAGAACAATCAAATGAAACCAGTCAACAGAGCTTTCTATCAGTTTTATAGCAATAAGAAGTATAAAATATAAAAAAAGAATGAAGAAAATGTATTTTTGAAAGCTGGGTAGAGCATGAGTGGAAGAAGGTGATACATTTTATAAGAGCAAAAGTTGTTGGAAAGCACTGCTTCACATGTATTGAATAATTTAATCTTGGTAAGTTAGACTCAAAAAACTTCAGATTTCTATCCTTCCCCTGCTAAAGGACAGAATAAATGTATAATTTATGACCATTGTCTCTATTCTTCTAGTAAGTTGGTTAACTATGCTATGCTTTCTTCTTTGAAAGAATACCTACTTGTGAAGACCAAACAAAATATTCTTTCATCAGATTGTTGCAGTAAAACTTCAAAGAACCATTGTTTTCAACTACAAAATGATAACTGTCAAAATAACTTGTCATGTTCAATGTAAATTTATACATAAACATGAATAGTTGTTAACTATTTATTAGGATAAACACCTCTAATATAATTTTAATTTCTGCTTTATAGCTTTGCCTATTTTATCTAGAAATATTCAAATAAACAATTCCAATCAAATTAAATAATTTCAGATAACATATAGTCCTTCAGATAACATACACTCCTTTAGGTATTTATTTAAAAAATAAAGGTTTGTTAAAATTTAGGAAAATCATCTAAAACATAATAAACTTGGTCAAATACCTTTTCACTAATATTGAATACATTACAAACATAAATTGAAAAAATATTTTCTGGTTAAAAATGACTGAATAGTAATAATCACTATGTAATTAAATTTTAAAAATTAAGTGCTAATATGCTAAATTTTAAAATAACAAAGTAATTCGAATCAAATGTTATTTTCTTGGATTTATTATACTTATATGTGTGATCAAGTTTTTCTAAATTGTCAAACAGAGCCAAATTAAGTATTTTAAGAAATATAAAATTATGAATATGTTATTGTAAATTATTAACAAATGTAAACTATATGATTGACTAAAACCTAGGTAAACTATAGGAAAACACCAAGGAAACACTAATTTGATGCATTCATTTCAACACATTATCAGCTAAAAAATTACTTTTCCAACTCAATAGAAAATTATTGCTTTATTTGAGCATTTACAAATTTCTTTTTCATCTGAAAATTATTATTTGAAAGAAAAGCATTTAAATACTTAAGAGCAAATGAGTTCATTCTTTTAAGTGCCCCCAAAAGACTCAATTATTCCTAATAAAATTAATGAAATCATTAGGTTAAATGAGGCCACATATTTTACCTGATTGCATTTTGCTCATCTAATAGTCTATGCACACATCCTCTTTTGCTGTTAAAGATACATATGAGCTTATTTAAATCTTCTCTCTAGAAGTAATAACCGAGTAAGGAGGTATGTACAAACACAAAAGCTGGTTGCCAAAATGTTCAAGGCTTATTTAAGATTTATACTTCTTTAGAATGTAACTGAAGAAGCTCTTAGCTCTCACAGCATATTCACCTACCTCAAATAGTTTTAAACACACTATTTCATGATGCTAGAAAATGAGATTGTATATGTTCCCTTTAAAATGTTTACTTAACTACAATAAAAGGTTAGATAGATTTCCCAAGTGAGCTAAGTTACGATACCTGCTACAATGTGAAAATTCAAACACACTTTCAACTTAGCTTCCACTCATTTATCATGTTTGACACAAAAGTCAAAAGCCCTTTTTAAGTACTAGTTAGGCTTGACTTAGAAAATACTGTAATTTTTTTTTTTTTTTTTTTTTTTTTGCAGTAGCAAGGTTTGAATGAAAGCCCTGAACCAGAGGAAGAAAAAGAAAAAGAAAGAAACAGCAAAACATCAATGCAGTTTAAATTGGGCTAAAAATACAATTACGGATTTTAAATTTGGAATATCATATTTGAAATGTGTGCTTCTTACTCCTAAGGTTTCCAATTCATATAAGGTTTATTAAAGTAAGTCATATTATATATATGTATATATAATATGTGTGATATATATCTTGTGTAATAAATTCTCCAAACATTGTGCAGAACTTTTAGGGAAAAATAAAACATAAAAAAAAAGAGGAAGACAACACCCCAAGGCAGACTTTTCTTTATAGAGTTATTATAATATCAAAGAAGTTTCCCTCTGTAAAATATTTATAAAATAAAAATTAGCCTTCAGATTTTTCCTATTCATGATTATCTCCTAAGATAATATACACATTAATCTTTCTTTCTAAAGATGAAGATTTTGAGCATATCATCAATTAAAATGGTTATTTCTGTATGCAAATATCATTAATATTACAAATTTTACAAAAAAAATGACAAAAGATTATGGTCACATTTTACTTTGTTAGTTATTCATTCCAAAGATATTCTATTACTGTAATGTTATCTGAGGGTGGTCTTTCTAAGATGAATGTGGTAACACTGTGATATGTTTATTCTGTGGAAAATCTATTTCAATGTCTAATAAGAAGCTTTTAAATGTTTTACTCCCTGTTCCTTTGTAGAGAGACTCTCCAGAGGGAAGCTGGATTTGTCTATATAGATGTTATCCCACACCTGCATTTTAGTTTACATAAAGTTCCAAAAATATACACTGCTTTTCTCACACTTACTGTATGCTTAATAAGCTAATAGTTTTGGCAAACTGCAAAAGACTTCAATTTTGAAAGTGCTAAATGAATATTTGAAAGATCTGGTTCAGCACTGGATGCTTTTGAAGATATGCTAGCCTCTGGTCAAATCTGTAAGCGCCAGGTCCAGTGATTCAAGCATAAATGCATGGCTAGAAGGGAGGTTTTTAGGCTCAAATCCAGAAATCAACTGTCAAAAAACTAGATCTGAGCTTAGAACCTTTTTCACTGCCCCTGCTCCTTACAGATTAACATGATAATCTACTTCAAATTTGCTAACAAGAGCTCTATTCATGGGTGTTTCAGTGAGACTTTCAGATCTTCTTCCTGTTCCTAAGTGGGAGGGAAGGGAAGTGCTGCTCCTTATTCATCAAATTATTCATCAAGATCAAATCTTATAAATATGTAACAGCATCTGGACTGGATTCGGCTGCCCATGCGCTTGAACGCTGATTTCTAGTATCTTCAAAAGGAAACCCTGTCTGTCGGTGTAGCAAAATACCAGGGTTGGGCAGGTCTGAACATGACCTGCTGAGATGAAAGTTCACGATCCCCAAACCCTGCAACTCTTAGTGCAGGAAAGAACAGGAATCAGGTTTCTTCCTGACAAGATTTAAACAAGTCTGGTGCAATCCACTCTTGTGAATGGCTCCAATTAACTGAACATTCTTCCTTCCACATACAGTCTGCAGACTGTCATTTCATTGTCTAAAGTAGTAGATTTCAATGTTTCTGACAAACCAAAACAATTTTTTGGAGTGCATTGTAATAAAACAGTTATTTCTATTACATTTTCATTTAAATCTGATGTAGATGTTTTCCAATTCTAATGTTCCTTAAAAAATTGGAAAACTCAGTTTACATTATTTCCAATGTCTTGACCCTGTGGAATTAGGTTTAATTATCAGCACTTTTACTCTTGAAGGGAGATATGCTCACATGAGCAAAAGTGATCATTTCAAAAGTAAATTTATACAGAGGAAAATTATCATGGTGTGGGTTTCTTTAGGTAATTTTTTTTCTTGCTATGAATTCTACCTTGGAAATGATTCTATTTTAAATTGGGATACTACTTTTCATATTTTTTCTTATGTTTTAACTTTTATTTTATTTTTCTTATGTTTTAACTTTTAACTATTTTTCATATTAGTTAGAAGTCACTAGCCTTAGAAAATCGAAATTGAAGTAATCTTAACCCATGGGAGACACTGTAGATAAACATTTATCTACAGTGTCACCTTTTTCTAGCCCAAACTTGGGTTTGCAGCTATGACAATTTCTCTTGAATCTTGAAACCTACATACTACAAGTATTAGGCTTGTGTAAATAATGATTCTTATAAAACGCAATGGAAAACGTCATCAAAATGATATTTTGAAGCTAAGAAATGACAAGACTTTTCAGAAGTATTTCTTTTAATTTTCCACACCCGCTGAGTTATAATTAAGTACTTACTTTTGTATATATTGTTATTCAATATCTACACGTGCTCAAATGATGAGAAGTGGGCAATCTGGATATATATTACCAAAGATTTTTAAACTCTACCCCTCAGAAGCTATGGTAGAAGAGTCTGAAACATTAGTTGTCAAGAAAATTAAATGAGGTTCTAATTTGAAAAGGGAACTTACCTCTGGATTTTTTTCCAAAAACAAAAGCCTTGCCAAGAAGTTGCCAAGTTGGCCTATACAGATCTTCTAAGTCCAACTGCCACCTGTCAGGTTCAAGATACCGAATAAGATCTTCCAAGGTACTGAAGGCAGTAACAGCATTGTTAAGCAGGTCCAGTGGCAAAGCTGAAGGGGGTAACACTGAAGGACTCACAGCTTCTGTGACTTGCTGAAAGGAAAATGAACCCTATGTTAGCTGTTTAAAAAATGACAAGGAGCCAGCCTCGGTGGTTCAGCCTGTAATCCCGTGCCTTTGGGAGGCTGAGGTGAGTGGACTGCCTGAGCCCGTGGGTTTGAGACCCGCCTGGGGAGCGAAACCTCATCTCTACAATAAATCAAAAAACCAGCCGGGCGTGGTAGTGCATGCCTGTAATTCCAGCTACTTGGAAGGCTGAGGCGGAAGGATCGCCGGAGCCCGGCGGTCGAGGCTGCGGTGGCTGGGTGAGGCCACTGCACTCCAGTCTGGGCAACAGAGTGAGATTCCAACTCACAAAAAAAAAACAACAAGGTATTCCTTCTGGACATATGTGTGAAGTTACGGAGACTAAGGCTGAAAATGCAGGAGATGAAATAGTATTCAACCCAATTAGGAGTGATTACTTTGCAAGCACTTCACATGGATGAACTCTGCTAGATTTTGTACAAAATCAGTGAGAAAGACGTTACTGTTCATTACCATAAACCATAATGGATGTGGATATCTTCTGTTCATATAAAAATTAAAGATATCTTTATGATTCAATTATGGACTTACAATGAAAACTATAGTACAGATCACCAGTTTTTTTTCCACTTTTAATTTTCCTTAATCTGAAAGATAGTTACGCAAATTAGTGTCAGAAAAATTTAAAATTTAATAAGAAATAATTAACCCATAAAATCTAGGAGAAAATCCATTGACAGTAGAGAAGTACTTGTTAATCAAGATAGAAAACACTTAAGCCATAAAAGATCAGCTTGATAAATTTGACTACAAGATATTTTTGAATATCAAATACCTAATGAAAAAGATTAAGAGATCACTGAGTCACTGGGAGAACACCTTGGCAAACTAAGTAACTGTCCCAAGATTAGTATCCAGTATAGACAAAATAAAGACAGGCAATGTGACAGAAAAAATGGACAAATTCCAGACAGGGGGCTGGAATGGTCAACACACACATGAAAGTATGCTAAAATTCATTAGTCACCAGAGAAATGCAAAACAAAATGAAATGTTCAACTTATAAAAAAAGGAGATACTAATCACATAGAGGAAGTTGGCAAAAATTACAAAAAGGATTACTGAGAATGTGAGTATATTGGAATTCCTCTGCTCTATCTGCAGAAGTAAGCACAAATATGTTAGCTGATGTGCACGGGAGACTAGAGATTTACGTGTCTTATGTCCCTGTAAATTACCTTTTAGGCTTATGTCCTTTCATTTGTGCACATGAAAATATGTGCAATAGTTAGAAAGACTGGAAGCCATCTAAATACATATATATATATGGATTAAAACACGTTGTAAAACTAAATGACAAGCAACAAAAAAGACAATTTTAATGAAAGTGGGAAAATGTTAATATTCTTTATATAAATGGAGACTTTAAAACTCAGTAGGGACAGACTTTCTCAATTTTTAATGCAGACGAAGGGTAGAAAGTGGCAGATTAGAGTTGAAATTGAAACAGGCAAAATAAATACATAAACAAATGTACTTATTAGCATTTATTCAAACAAATAAATGAAGAAAAGTACAGAATAAAATATTCATGTTGGTTGATGTTCATTATAGTAATATGTGCAATAAAATTTGGGGAAAATCTAAATTTACAATAGTAGAATAGTTAATTATACTATACTCAAAAAATGGAATGGTGTACAGTCATCAAAAGTGAGTTCCTCAGGAACTTTTGTTAATAAGATAAATGACAGATAAATGACAGAAAACAGGATATATAAATATAACTTTTATTTTTTTCTTTTTTTTTTTTTACTATATGATTCCATTTATATGAAATGTCCAGGCAAGGTACATATACAGAGACAGAGAGCTGGAGGTAAGAATGGGAAATTAGCATGAAGCTTCTTTTGGGGTGATGGAAATATTCTAAAATTAGATTAGATGGATGCACAACTTTGTAAATTTGCTAAAAATCATTGAAGTATAAACGCAAAACAGGTGGGTCTTATGGCATAAATATAACTTTTATATACCCTGGTTCTGACATACATAAACGGAAACCAAGCAAAAAAAAACAACAAAAAACTTGAAAGTGCCTAAAATGTTGAGTGCTAATATATGGTTTAAATGAGAAAGAATACTTATTATAAGTATGGATTTTCTTGAGAAATCAGATAACAATACCACTTATTACAATAAAAGCACTATCACATCAGTGCTTCCTTTTCATTCTCATTACATGGAACCTTGTCTAGATACTAAAAACATATCCTGTATATAGCAGCTTCTAAGCTTATCTCCTTGCCTTCAGCCATTCCTTTCTCCTTTTATTCATTCTACCCTGCCTAACCCTGTGTTAATCTACTTAAAATAAGATATCCCTATGATGAATTTGGACAAATGCCTATGTGATTACTCATCAGGAGGATAAAATTCAAATTCCTTACACTGCATTCAGGGCCTTCACAATCTGACCTCTGCTCACCTTTCCACCGAATCTGCTACTCATCAAAGATGTGCACATTTTGTTGCAATCAATCTAGTCTCCTCACTGACTACCGCACATGTCATGTTCACCTCAGACTTTGTACCTTTACCCAGGCTAAATGCTGCCCCCATCCCTCACATGCAAAAACTCTTCCTTCTGTTGATTCACACCATACATCTTCACTGTTAAAATGACTTCATAAAAAACCCAATTCATCCATGGAAACTTGCACAATAACAGGGCCATCGCTGTGCCATATATCTCAAGTGTGTCCATTTGAAGAGACTCCCTCCATGGGCTGCTCTGTGGGCACCTAGCTTAAGGAGCAGAAGCTGCTCAGTAAATTGGAAACAGAAGCATATTTCTCTGAGCCGGCACAGCACTTGATGGGGCTCATGGCTCTGGGGGTGAAACAGGCCCGGTCCACTGGGGAACATTTTACAGAGTACAGTTGGTAATCAGTAGAAATGAATGTGGCAGTAATGGGCCAACAATGATTTAATTCTTTTTTTTTTTTTAATTTAACAAAAGTTTATTGAGTGACTACAGTGTTCCAGGCCTGTGTGGGCATTATGAAAGAAGTAACCTCGAATGGCAAGGTCTGGCCTACTTCTCTGCATGGATTACTCATGTGTGCTTTCCAGGTCTCCTCACCTCTGTTACACATTTTTATCTTTGTACTTTTAAAATAAAACTTATTTGTATATTTGAGGTTTAAAACATGATGACATGGGGTACATAAAGATACATAGGTATATTTAGGTACATATGGATAGCACAATGGTTACTATAAAGACCTGATTTCAGTAACATTAAAGATCTGGTTAAAATATTAAGACAAATATATTTTTCTATTATTTTAGGTTGTTTTACTCTACCCATTATTGTGAAGTTTTCCAGAGTAGAAACTAAATCTAATATGTTCTTATTTACTCAGTGTATTTTATAATTGTCCAAAACCCACAAAATTGCTTAGAGAGTACTATACAATGATGAAAATCTCTTATATAGATATAAGCAAACATTGATCTAAAAAAGATTTTCAAGGCCGGATGTGGTGGTGGGAAGACTGCTTGAGCTAAGGAGTTTGACATCAGCCCAGGCAACACAGTGACAAAAATTGGTCAGATGTGGTGGTGCACACTTATAGTCCCAGTTATTCAGGAGGCTGAAATGGAGGGACCTCCTAAGCCCAGAAGTTTGAGGCTGCGGTGATTCCTGATCTTGCTACTGCACTCCAGTGAGACTTTAACTCAAAAGTAACAGAGTGAGACTCTGACTCAAAAGTAAATAGAATAAAATAAGGTTTTCATATTTAATTTAACTAATTTGGTTAATATTGATTAAACTTAAATGTGAAAAGGTTAATGTAAATTTTTGCAAATTTTAAAAATATAAGTCTTTAAAAAATAAAGTAAATATTAAGGGGTCAGTAATACTAAAAGAATAACTGAACATTACTGATCAATATGATGATATAAAACAAAATCTGCACACAGAAAGCAAATGGTTGCTAATAAGTTAATACAAAAGCATATATTATTTATTAAAGTACAGGTGTATATTTTAGGCATGATATAAAATTGTTATTTAGGCTATTTTCAATTAGACTATGATCCAATAATGATTTGGCTTATTTGGATTCCAAATCTGTGGGAGACTCCCTCAATAAGTCGCACTCCTTTTGAAGCAATAAAAAGTTCCAACTTAAATCAATATTGCTGAAATAAAATTCAAAATATTAATATGAAAGAAAACAAAACAAAATAAGCCTGTAATATTGGGCCAAGAAAATATTCACACTTTGAGTCTAACAAATTATCTGTGTAGCAATCCTCTCAGAAGACAAAGGTGGGGAGAAAAGCATCTTATGTTATTGCATTTATAGATCAGTTTATAAATCTCCAAGCTTTAAAGTATTTGCATTAAAATAAGATAAATTTTAAAAGAGTCCCTCTGCACCCCCTATACACCAATCCCCATTCAAAAAAACAGGAAGGCAGAATCAACACATGTTCCCTGAATTTAAAGAATCAATCCGTGGACAGAACAGAGGAAGTGGCGCTTCTATTTAAGGGCCTTCTCATGACTGTCACTCCACCCACTGGTTCAAGGAACAACCTAGTTGTTCACTTTCAAAGTTCTGCTTTTTAAAGTTGGCTAAGGTGATTCTCAGAGAGAATGGGAGCAATGAAAAAGAAAAAGTTAGAGGGAAAAAAAAGTCCTTTAACGTTTTTAACTTTCAATTTTTCCTCTAACTAAGTACCACTGTTTGGTGTAGATTAATAGCATTTTCTTCCATAACTAGTATGTACAAAAGTTATGGGCTGCCCTATGCCAACTTAGTGGATGCCAATGGACAGCAATGGACAGCAGAGTTTCTTGGCGCCTTGCAATGTACACAACTAAATTAAAACCTTTACTTCAGGAGGCCAAAGAAAAGCTTTTCTGCTGTCACCTACAGGGAAGTAATGACAAACCCAGTTATGGTGGAACTCTAGCCTAGATCCTTTAG